TAAGTTAAAGTTAAGTTAAAGTTAAGTTAAAGTTAAGTTAAAGTTAAGTTAAAGTTAAGTTAAAGTTAAGTTAAAGTTAAGTTAAAGTTAAGTTAAAGTTAAGTTAAAGTTAAGTTAAAGTTAAGTTAAAGTTAAGTTAAAGTTAAGTTAAAGTTAAGTTAAAGTTAAGTTAAAGTTAAGTTAAAGTTAAGTTAAAGTTAAGTTAAAGTTAAGTTAAAGTTAAGTTAAAGTTAAGTTAAAGTTAAGTTAAAGTTAAGTTAAAGTTAAGTTAAAGTTAAGTTAAAGTTAAGTTAAAGTTAAGTTAAAGTTAAGTTAAAGATAAGTTAAAGTTAAGTTAAAGATAAGTTAAAGTTAAGTTAAAGTTAAGTTAAAGTTAAGTTAAAGTTAAGTTAAAGTTAAGTTAAAGTTAAGTAAAAGTTAAGTAAACAGTTAAGTAAACAGTTAAGTTAAAGTCAAGTTAAAGTTAAGTTAAAGTTAAGTTAAAGTTAAGTTAAAGTTAAGTTAAAGTTGAGTTAAAGTTGAGTTAAAGTTAAGTTAAAGTTAAGTTAAAGTTAAGTTAAATCATTTTATATTCTGATTATACTCACGAGTGCGTGTGTGTGCGTGTGTGTGTTTTTGTGTTTGTGTACCTATCATAAATCACTACAATCAGCATTAGTTTACCAAAAACGATCCCTGCTGCTGCAAACCTTTCCCCACATCCAACATCCCAGTGATTTCTCGTGGAAGCGCAGAGGATTTCTCGGTTTCCTTCACAGCGAGTATCACGTCAACACATTCCTTCCCATTCCTTATTGGACCTGCATTCGGACACGGCCGGCGCTGGTATTGCTAAACATTAGATCTTCAGTTTTTACACATTGAGGATGAATGTTAGTCCCAAACATCATCTGTTGGTTCTCTGTGTAATTGCAGCTGATCTGGCAATAACAGAGTAGCAACCGTGGGCGGTCAATAATGCTAATGCTAATGCTAATGCATTAAAAGGGCGACGGAACGGCGTCGGTGGTGTAGTGGTAAGCGTGATTACCTCTCATCCCAGCAGGCCTGGGTGACGTAAAGCGTGTAGTTTGCGAGAAATTTCCAGCTGCCTTGGGCCTCAATATGCACACAGGTGTGCGGGGTTATATGGTTTTGTAAGGAGATTCCCAACTCACTGGATTTCCACAATAGATACGGGAACATATTCTATAAAAGGAACAAAAATGTATGTTTCCTTTGTAAGGCGGAGGGGCATCGCGTGATTTCCTGCCCTAAACGGAAAGATTGGAAGCAGCGAGGAGAAAAACGAATGGAAAAAGTAGAAGGGTCTGTGCCTAGGGGCACGAACGGAAGCTTGACGTAAGACCGCTAGTGGACGGAATAAATGTGAAGGTGTGAAGGAGTGGACTATCCACCACCTTCCTACTGCTGCTATGACTGTTCACCATGCCGTCCGAAGCGAAAATGAGCTAATGCCATACAGCAGCGCTCTTTTATATCTTTTCAGGTTAAAGCAGAATGATGTGCAACCAAGTGGTATAAAAGCTACAAAGACTCCTCCCATTATGAGTAGTTTGCTATCAAGTAGCGACACTGACTCTTTTCCTTTTGCGTACACGGCGAATGAGAACGACCCAAATTTGAGTTTAGTTCACTCATAATCGCCAAAAGTGCAGGAACTCAGCGATGAGTAAATTTGTCTCATGGTTTCCTGTGGAAAACCTAAAAAATCTGCCAGAAAATGAGGAAATTGACAAATATTTATTCAGTCTCGGTGTAGTACCAATGGACTGAGTGAATCCGGTCTTTACTTTTTTCAAATTCGGGAATTTTTCCCTGGAAAATCCTGGAAAAACCTGGGAAAAAATGAGGCAAATTTACTCATCGCTGAGTTCCTGCACTTTATTTCTTATTTCTGAAATAACTAAACTCAAATTTGGGTCGTTCTCATTCGCTTGAAAGATATCTCCGCCGGTGGTTAGCGTGATTACCTCTCACCCCAGCAGGCCTGGGTCCAATTTCAGTCGGCGCCACCGGCATTGTTCTAAGGCATAACATCTCTGATCACGCCTTCCTTCAGGAAGTACAGCCGTTGGTCCCCGGTTGAGTTGATGGGTCGATTGGTAGGGTCCAGGTGTGGGAGCTGCCTCTCTGGCATCGGTAGCATTGGAGCTCAGTACGGAAAACAAATCTCGCGTCACTTTTCAATAGGTCCTATCTACATTGATCGATTGTCTTCATCGACACTCTCTTTCGTAAATAACTCGGCTTCACAAATTATTCCTGCCGTCTTCGTCGAATTAGATGCTAGATTGTTGCTTCTTCCATCGAAAATATCCAGCCGTGGCGATTGAAAGTTGATCAAGGTTGATCAAAATAATTTGTACCCCTGCTTCCAGTTTGATTACATAAGCATTTTGTGTGATCGTTGGTTCTGAATATGGACAAACAGGCAGATGAATTCTATTCCTACTCTTTACTGTAATAAGCTTGGTGGCCCTAAAAAGAGCCGTTTTGTTGCCAAAGTTGGTGATGATTTAACCTCCGAAACCAAACAGAGTGCGTCTCTGTCACTTCAAAACGTAGATGACATCCATGGCCGCTTACGCTTGGCGTGTTTAGTGTAGGTGACAGCATCACGGATCTCATTTTTCAGGAACACCTTCAGGACACCTCGTAAATCAGACCGGAGATACGTCAGACACCGCCACGGCGAGCCAGACGACGGATGGTAGTTATCTCGAAGAATTTGCGTTTGGTTCTGAATATGACGATGAGTGTGCAAAATATTACGCAATTCCATCCTCCCTATTCGCACGCGCCCGAGGATTGGAGGCGAATGCCACTTCGAATTGTTTCGTCTACTTACTACTCTCTGACGACTGTGCTGGGGAAGCAGCATATGCATGTAGGTAATTGGTGGATTTGTTAGTTGATTCGACGTTTTTAGACAATGCTGGACATTTAACAGTTTTTCAATAGTTTCTTGTTGAAAATCAACATTCGGAAGCATTGTTATCGATGCGTAGCCATATTTCTGATCGATTGGTGATAAAATTATTGAAATTGGACCAGGGGCATCTGAGTTATTAACGTTCAAAATCTTTCTTAATTTGTTACATGTTCCATTTTCGGTTTTCACAAAGTGTACCCCCATATAGAAATCAAAGACGTAGTCCTACGTCAAAAGAAAACAAACAACGGAATGAGGAAGAGACATACACTGATGTAAAAAAATCCACTTGCTTATTAAAAGTTGAGAAAGGAGGAATTTAATAAAAATCGCTATTTTTAGGGGCCACCCTGAGTACTTAACAACCAGTATAAGTCGTGAACCATCAGAGATAGTTAAGTATTAGTACAAGACACTGAAGATAGATTTAAATTGAAATTACATCAGAGATAGTAAAAAGCTTTCTTCAGAAAAGTTGCTTCAAATAAATTGTTTTTTTTTTTTAAACTTTGACAAACATTGTGTCGGTATATCTTACATAAGTGAAAAAATGCTATTTAGAACTCACTAATCTTAAGGGTCAACCTAATCTCTTGCACATTAAAAGAATGGCTGAAGTAAAAAGAAATACTTTCATGAAGATACTCTTTTTTCTCCCCAAAAATAGGGTTCTGAACCACTGTGAATTTCAAATATTTGTATTTTACGGAGAATTTACGGAGATGTAGTGATTATCATGAATGCTGTCAAAAACTGTTGGAGCACATTTTTACTAAGGGGTTGATCAAACTTATAGAGGTTTTCCTAGTATCATAATAAAATTTTTCAAAAGATTTCAAATAGATTGGGTTCTCGTAAACGCAGAGGCCCGATTAAGGCAAGGCTTGCGCTTCTATAGCTTCTGAGCAGCCCGAAACTGCTGGAACCGATGAACTTCGAGGTTTTGGGTGTTCCAGTAGATTGGAAAGTTTTTGCACTGTAGAATATTCCTGATTGCATATGGAATGGTTTCTGGAGTTACAGGGTGTCGAAAAAAATAATTCTGATTTATCCGAATGTCACAAATTCCTGGAGTTCTGGATATTCCGAGAATTTCTGGAAATCATAGTTAAGGAGAAATGAGAGTGACTGAAGCACCGAGAGTCTCAGGATGCCGTGAAAAATTTTTTCCTAAATTTCACAGTTTCCAAGAGATCCTGATTGTGAAAACTGAAGATTCCGGAGAAATAAGAGTGGCTGAAGTCCCGAGAGCTCCAGGACTTCGAAAATAGTTGGTATTTCTCAGAGTGTCACAGATTTCTTGATAGCTAGAGTTACGAGAATATCTGGGAATTGCACCACCTAGGATAGCGTCTCAGGAATTTCAAAAGTATTTTAGACTAGTTTTTAAATTGAAAAGGGTAGTTAAAATTTTACTCAAATTGCGTTTAAAGTTTGGTAATTTGTAATGAATTAAATTTTAAATGTTGTTGAAATTTTATTAAAAATGGATTTAATTTATTTCTAATTAAGATTCTGATTCTGATGAATTCAATGTGTTTTATTAATATGTATGTACAATTATTGTAATGTTTTAGTTTTAGTATGTTACAAATTAAATATATTTTCTAAATTTTGATAGAATTTGTTCGGCAATGTTTGCAAGGATTACTTAATATTTATAATTCAGTCTAAAAAATTAAGAAATTTGTTAGGTAACAACAAACGCCCCTATGAGAGCGTAAGGGGCTAAATAAAGTCCATGAGTATCGATAATAGAGCTGACGACGTAGAACACCCTACATGGACTCATTTTTCACAGCCAATCGAATTGACCGAATTTGGATTCCATATAATAAAGTTGCATCAGTCAGTAAACAGATACGGAATTAGCATCACAACAGACCGCGGAATAGTCTACTGCAAACACAAATTTAGCTTTTAAATGATGAGTGAACGAAAACCCACACCGTGTGCTTTATGACTCACTGCGCGATCGCAAGTTTTCCCACAATTATCGATGAACCACGCGCTTGGTGGCCGCGCTGAGTGCCCAGCCAAGCCATGACCGAACTCCATTACTCACTTGTCTACGAAGTCGAATCCTTTGTCTTCTTTCACCATGTACGCCGGATACGATTGCAGTATCTCATTCGCTTTCCCATTATAGGAGCCCAGCAGCTCGCGGTACTTGGAATAGACCAGGCTTTTGAGCTGTGGATTCGCTGATGCACTTCTACCCGACTGCGGACCCGGTATGGTTTGCGTAGCCATTTGTTTAATTGTTTTCAATTTTCTCGCGACGGTTGTTATTTTTAAACGAGGACTTTAGTAATAACTGTATCTTATGTCACGCTGTACGGTTACCAGCTCCGATCACATATGCATCATTTTTGCACTAAATAAACAATGTCACCAACCGTAGTTTATGGTAATATGACATCAGCTCACTCCTCCTCCGCTAAAACTAACTTCTCACTGAAGCTTTAAACATATGAATCAAATCACTTAACAACGAAAACAACACACTCGGTCTCTGCACTAATGTATCAATACATTTCAAGACCAAAAACCACGTCACAGAAGGGGAAGCCGAATCCAGGCATTCCTTAAACGATAAGTACGTTTGCGTTCAAGAATCCGCAGAGAAAAAAAAACGACCCCGGAGAACGACACCTCGAAAAGGAAGTCCACAAATTCCGCAGTAATTACAGCCAACCGTTCGACTAGACGTTACTTTCCGAACTGAAAATCTTACGCCGTTGGCTTCAAGTCACAAGCCAAGCGATATGAGAAATGTACTAAATGCAGACTTGAAAAGGCAGCAGCAGCAGGGCATGCTGCTGGAGAAGAGATCGAGAGTGAATCAAGTTTCAAAGGCACCATCAGGCCGAGAGCCTTAAGTTGTTCCTACATACACGGAGGGAAGTTTTCCGCTGTGGCTGGTGTTGCCCAAGGGAAGACTACGAGCCATGTGATGCCATCCGTGCAAGTTGTGTTTACTTACGTGCGGAATATCTTTCCTTCCGATTTGCCATTTCCAGCATGGGTGAAGAAACCTTCTCGCGTGAATATCAAACCGATCGGAAGAAGTGGCGGGTTTAAGAGAGAAACGGAAAAAAGATGCAATTTATGGCGTTTAATTACAGAATGTTCCTCGTTTAGTTGATATGGTTGGCGCTTTTCGAGTGCAGTTGGAGGAATTTTAAATTGTGCAGTTACAAGCTGTGTGTGATCTTGATGTACGTATACAGTTCTGGTTCAATTTTCTCCAACTCTAGCTGTTTGGTTGACTGCGACTTTTTTTTTATCTCGCATATTGTTTTGATAGGGATTCAGATTTTAATTCATTAGTTTCTACATGGAGTGATTTATGATTTCAATGTTCATAATTTAATCCACAGGAAATCCTTAATTAAATTAATTAAGGCAATTGTTAAGTTATAATACAAGTGCCATGCTGAACAATTTAATTATATGTTAGAATTTAGAGAAATAAAATGCAGCAGACTGGTTCAATTGCATAGACAATCAAGATTATTCATATTTAATAGTGTCACTATGACGATGAAGATTTGTTGAGCCATTGTACCCTACAGGTGAACTTTTAACTGTCTTCCCCTAGCTCTTGAGAATTCTAGAATTGCTATAGATTGTAGATCCCCCTCATCTGAACCGTCTATGTAAAGCTCATGGTGGCCACTGAACCGGGCAAACCGGGAACTAACCGGGAATCGAAAACAACCTGGAAATAACCGGTAATTTGATTGGATCCTTAAAATATCTCTTCTTTGTTGTACCTTAATCGAATTATGTGATCAATTATTCTGACTCCGGTACCTCGAATATTTCCCTCAGAATCTTGACTATTTCTTCAAACCCAGATTTGTTTACTTATCCATACACACTTAATTTTTCTGCCGAGATTCCATCGGGCGAGTAGTTCTGCGATTTATTTTGCTGAAACTCAGAGAGAGCAGTGGAGAAAGCACAAGTCTGATAATTGCAACGCTCGTGGTTCGAATCCGCCTTGCAACCCTTTTACTGTTTTTTTTAGACATGATTCATTTCACTCACTAACACACCCCGCATTTCTCTTTCTCCATTTCCTTGCATTGGACCGCAGCTCGGTATATCTCATCCTCCGTTCATGCGGTCTCCACATCCTGCGATGATGAATTCCTCATTGTTGTAAGTAAATCTTACATCCCCTGGTTGGGTGTAACAATCGAGATTTTTTTTAAATTTGCACTGGGAAAACCAGGAAAAACCAGGAATTCCACAATCAACCTGATCAAAACATATCCTGAAACTTTTCCTAAAATTTGAGCTCATTTAGTTGCGATCTCTTATTGCACTGGCACTTTATATAGAAATTTCTATGGGATAAGTGAACTTTGTGTTCACCTCTTCCTAGCCTTGCGCCATAATGATTTAGGGCTAAATTTGGTATCGGTAAATATGGGAAATTTTCTCCGCAGCAACTCATTAGTCAAATAGGAATTTGATGTATTTTTGACATGCTCCACAAACTGATCAGCAGACCACATTGGTGTATTTGGCTCGATTAATTATTATCAAAATGTTTTCAGTTTCTAGGTCAATTAACAACTCATTTTCTTGACGTTCGCCCCCACATGCCTAATTTGGTTCAATTGGCTTGATTAGTTCTCGAGTTATGCAGAAATTTCTGTTTCATTTGTATGGGAGCCCCCCCCCCCCCTTACAGAAGGGAGGGGTCTCGAACCATCATAAGAACCTTCCACGGCCCCAAAAACCCCTGTATACAAATTTTCACGCCAATCGGTTCTGTAGTTTCTATAAGGGTCAGACAGACAGACAGACAGACAGAAATTCATTTTTATGTATATAGATAGATAGATAGATAGATAGATAGATAGATAGATTATAATACTATCATTAGTAAAGCAAACAAAATGCTAGGCTTCATCAAAAGGTTCAGTCATAATTTCGAAGACCCATAAACTATTAAGCTATTATATACCACATATGTAAGGCCAATTAATAATTTAATGCATAATAAATAATTTTTATGCTTTATTGATTGTGATAAGACTCGGCTTTGTCCACCGAGGATGATCTTGAAACAAGGAAAAAATGTGTTGGTAAGTCTTCATCTATGTGATTCCTAATCTTCTATTCGTTGTTCCATAGTTTGAAGTGGTTAAGACTAGGGTTTTGATACATGGTCCTTATCGGTGTCATTGCTTATTTTTATTGCTAAGGAATCCAATTTTGACTGACAAAGGGGCGTGCCTTTGGAGGGTGTTCCAACACTCCGAAGGTTATAAATAGCGGGACCTTTCATTAAGAATCGATTCCTTGCGATGAAGGCAAGAATGACAACTGTGAAAAAATCGAATAATCATCATTTCTCAATAGCGATGGAGTAATACACTAAACTAAGGATACGGGATATACTGCAATAGATCAAATTACTGGTCGCAGTGGGTTTATGTCCCGAACAGAGGAAAAAAAAAAGATATCAACGAATCAATGTATGCTGAAAACGGTAAGCAGAATTATTTTGCTCGATATTTAATCGGGTGAGTCATTGTTCTCCACACAACGAAATTGGCAAATCAAACATAGCATTATTCATGTGCCCACGTCGGTTGAAACCTATGGGATGGGATGATTCATTCAGCTTTGGGTTACAGTTGTTGCAGATTTTTATTGTATTGATATAGCTAAAGAGTGACTTCTTAAATCAGCCGAAAATCGCAACATTTACTGAAGCAGCCGTTAATCTTTATTGATTTAACTGAAACATTTCAGCTATTGATTTAACTGAGTCTAGCAGGGCAGGTCGAATGCCGATCATTTTAAAATCATGGACGTCAAATAGCTGTCTAAATACTAACAATGGGTCTCTTATAATTGAAAATTACGAAGATAGGGAAAATGACTCTAGTGTTGGCCTACACACTATGATTTTTTTACAGGAATCAGTATTTTTTTACTGGGTTTTTGAATTGCTGAAAAAGTCGGTAAAAATTCAAATGACCGTTATCCGTAAGGAATCAATGATATCGACCAATTTTATTTTCTATCATTAAATGGGGTTAACAGAACTAAGTATGTACAAGTTCGGAACAAATTTACTGATTAATAAAGTTTCCAAAGATTTTTAAACTTTTACCGAACAGTTCCGTAATTCAAAAACTCAGTAAAACCGTACTGACTCGATTAGTGTGTATGGATCTAAGATTGGGCCCATCGCTAAAAATCTGCTATCCTGTTATCCATGGTTATCCATGGAATACGATCTACCCTGAGTGCTTTACCTAATTTCTCTTACACTATCACCTTGGCTTGGGTCCCTTCGCATTGCTCTATACCGGGTAACGAGAAAGCTGACTCGCTGGCTAAGGTGGGCGCTATGGAAGGCGACATCTTCGAACGACCAACTGGCAACAAAAGTGGAATGATGGTGATTTGGGAAGATGGCTACACTCTATTCTCCCACAGGTGTCGAACAAACCATGGTTTAAAGGGTTGGATAAGGACCGAGACTTTATCCGAGTCATGTCTAGGCTCATGTCCAATCACTTTTCATTAGACTCACATCTTTATCGGATTGGGCTGTCAGGCAGCAATCTATGCACCTGTGGTAACGGTTACCACGACATCGAGCATGTTGTTTGGTCTTGTACTTTATACTACACGAAACGAAAATCAATTATTTTATTCATGAGTTCCACTTATACATTTTTGCCAAAACATCAGCCTTATACATTCCATAAGACAAACCACATAGGTCCTATAAGAATGCATAAAAGGTATTTGTGACCGCTTATACATTTCATTTGACACATGATCCTTATTAACTTTTTGCAAGGCGTCTGCTTAGTTGACTTATACATTTTATGAATAATCAGCAATAGAAATTTTCCAAAAGGTATAAGGAGCTATCTATCCGTGTATGTTGCCAGATATGAGTTGTGTGAATCCCTTATCCCACCCGTCAGAGAAGTTCTGGCTAGCCGCGATCTCGAATATATGTTGATTTACAATTTTCAAAAACGGGCCGATTTGAGAATTTAGGAGCCTTTAGTAGTTTTTTTTATTGATGTGTCAGTCCTCTCATCGTTCTCCCAACATAGCCCCTTTTTATTTTTCGTTTCAGTTGTCTCATCAATTGTCCATTCACCTTTCGAGATTCAGAACACTTGTCCTCACTGCAGTGCTTCTCCCACGTACATTCACCAATGCAACGGCGACGGAGGTTAAATCGACAATTCACCCCCATGTACCTTATCCCAAGTCCACGTCCAACCTGTTTAAACATGGTTATCCTTAACCTTGAGTAAGCCGAGTCATAAGACATATTGTGAATATACATTGAATACCGGCTCCACAAAGTTAACACAATTGAGCCTTGACAAATAAATGATATTAAATTTTTTTTAGATCGGATAACATGTTCACAGATTCAGCCAATCGAATCCTTCATATTATAGGTAGGTTAACTGCAATCAACTGGTTCACGAAATTTCAGACTAGTTCAAAATCAAACTAATCAAGCGTTGTCATAAAAATAACGAAACGGTCACATACACAACATAGAGCAAATTTCGACTGAAAGATAATTTCCTGAGGCAACGCTGCGGACGAACCGTACCCCACAACAACGAGTGGAAAGTTGACAAATACTAGCTGTGCTCATCATCGGGGACCTATGGATGTAAATCTGTTACGTAATTTCATCTCGCCGCTCGAATAAAAATAAGCAAGTGGGCAGAAGCTGGGTGCTAGTCAAAAATTTACGA